GAATGAGGCCTGTGTCCAGCCTTCGACCACAAACAGAGGCTGCTCACTCACTCAGGTCCTGAGGAGACCAAATCGCATTATCAACACATATCTCCCACAATCTACTGCGACAGGATCACCCCGCAGGCAGGGCTGAAATGGATACGGCAATATACAACAGCCATGCCGAGGAAAGAGGGAGGATGGAGGGTTTCGGGGAGAGCGGGTAAGTAGGGGACGGAGTCACACGCTGTTGTAAGCGCGGCAACAATGTCAATTAATTGATTCCATGCCATCTCATCAATTTTGATTAAAATGAAATGAGCCTCTGTACGTTTGAAAAGGTTAAAACAAATTGAAGGTGGAAATCACAGCTGGTAATCACAGTTTGTCTAACAGCGGGCTTTTAATGAAGCGACCCACTCTCCATCATTCATTTCAGCCTCCTCTGTGCATATGGAGCGATTGCATTGCTTCTCTGTTCGTGTGAGAGCATGTTCACGTTACTTGTATTTAGAACAGCATATATTAGCATCATGGCCTCCTTACAGACTCTCCTAGCAGCAGTTGGGCTTGAATATGCATTACAAAAAGTGATGAAAAATGTATGTTTTACCGTCAGGCAAATGGTTGACTCATTTGTTTCAAAAAAGAAGTGCCATCAGATGAAAATGTTTATTCTTTGTACACTTATTTACATGTGATTTACAATTGTGATTTGTGATGACATGCCTTTTAGTATATGAAAACAAAGTTAAACTTGCATAATCTTAACCAACACATCACAGTACATTGTTTTTCAAATATCATTCATTATAGCCATTAGATGTTTCTTTAAAGATAAAATGTTTTCACACACATACTGCACCATTTCAAGAATCAGTCTATTTCCTCAGCTGTAATGAAAACAGAAAGGTCAAATGAACAAATGCAATGGTGGTACAGTAGAACATATAGCACAACAGTCAGAGCAAATGCCTTTTGTAAAGATATTGCTGAGGTTTATTTGAATTAAACCCCATTTTTAAATATATTTCTTGAAATACATACGTTCAAGATGAATTTTTTTTTTCTGTAAGTTGATTGTTTTTCATGATTAATGTAACATTTCAACGCACACTTGCACAATCTTTAACCCTTACTAATACATGGTGTATTACAAACCCAACTTCCTTTATTGTTTAGCTCTGCCATTAATTTAAAGAACAGGCCAAAATGACAAAGGGTTAAAACTCAAAGAGGCGCTCACAAGCAGAACAACAACATATTAATTGTTGCAGGTCACTACTGGCACCTGGTGGTGGTTTAGAGAACTAAAGGTACAGATGTAGCCCCTTAATTGTAAACAGCCTCATTATAAGCAAAGCCTACAGAAGTCATTACAAGTTCCCTGTGTTGTAAACATAAAAACCGAGCCAATATTAAAATTGCATTCTTGTTTTATTTAAAAAGCAAACTTTGCTGTGTTAACAAAAAAGAAATCACATAATTGCAACGCACCTTGCTAAATAAATAACAGTGCCGCTAGTTGATCTGAAAGCACACCCCGCTGGGATATGCTGTTGTGGAGAAGCACTGTTTCCTTTTTGCTCACAAATTGCCCTATTTTCAGTGGTTGGTTGGCTTTAGTTCACTTAAAGCTGCGTAGACGTGCTGCTGTCTCAGCAAATACAGTCTTCAGTAGAAATGCAAATAGATACACATGCAAAGCAAACCTCTGGCTAATTAAACAAGGTCTGTGTCCCTGAGCACTGGAAAAAAGTGTAATGCACAGCATGTATGCTCTTCCTAGACATAGTTTTAATACGGAACATCTGCGGGTTGCCAGATTGCAAAGATCTTAATAAAGCTTACTGTACACTAATTATACTGCAACACAGAGGAACAAGGACTCTTTGCTTATTATTAAAAAAGGTGTTGGTTTGGTAATATTTTTGTACTCATACAGTGGGTCACAAAGACAAAGGAGAAGGTACACAACGCTATATTCATCTATTTCCAAGTAACGGTACGCCGACAAAGAAAAGTGTATCTAAGTCAAAAACAGGGTGAGACAGTTAAATATATCATAACACACTTTCAATAACGTTAGGAGGATTGCAGGGTTTAAAAAGTTAGAACACTGATCCGTGCCAACATGGACTTTTTTTTAAAATTATTCTAGAACTAGATTTTCATTAGTTTTTTCCTGATATACAGATAACCACACGCACACATAACACTTTAAGGATGATAAGTCTGCAATACGACATTTTTGTGCAGTGACTTGGGGAAGCGATTCTTTGAAATCTCTATAAGGCACTCAAATTGAAAATAGAAGCACTCTAAACCATCTATAAAAAGGCAAGCACATGACCTATCATATAATATGGCTCTGCTGTGGCGAATGACATGAGTGTGCTAAAAGTCAGAGGGCAGATGTTGCTTGTTTATTTTCTCTGTGCAGTGGATACAGTGTTTTGTCTCTCAGTGCAGTCAAGGAGAGTCTCCCTCAGTCTCAGTCATCTTTTTTGTCAGAGGTGCTCTCTTCCTGTACATCTGAAAGCTGACCGGACAACTCCAGTTCGCCTGGATTCGCCTCCTGGATTGCTTGATATCTCTGAAGCTCAAGGTAGGTGGTGAAGAGCTTGGCGTACTCCGGGTGGCTCATTGCAAAGCTTTGAAATTCATCTTAGGAGTCACAGACACAGAGAAACGCATAAGGATGTAGCTTACAATAAGGTATGTCAATTATAATGTATTTACTGCACATATTTCTAAGCTCGGCATCAGATTTAAAAAGCAGAGTCTACTCACTGAAGGTGATGAAACCGGAGCCGTCAGCATCAATCTCCTTGAAGAGTTTGGCCATGTTTATGTTGGACACACCCAGAGCTGAGCGCAGCAGAGCAGTGAACTCCTCCCGGGTGATTCTCTCATCCTCGTCCGTATCGAACAGCTGCATGAAAAAAGTATTTGAGTTTTTAAATGTTTGCATGTTCAAGAGAGATGAATGTTATTCAAATTGTGTGAAATAAGTTGATGTGCTACATTATACTGTAGGTTTCAGTATGTAGCACTTCAAAATGGCGAGGCTTATTTGAAGCAAGATTCCTGCTGTTCTGAATTTGTCGCTTTGTTTGGATAAAAAAGCGTGGGTTTAGTTTAGTATTTTAAATAAACACCAGTTGGTCCAAACCACATTTGAACTTGTGGTCAGCCGAATGACTCCATGCTCTCCACAACAGACACACGTTGTTAACATTGACATTATCCAAGCCTCTCTGAATGCTGCCTCTGTTCTTCCTACAATACTGTCTGGCTGCTGTGCAATTTAGATTTCTGTTTATATTATTGTTAGGGGTGCACCGAATGGGAAATTCTTGGCCGAAACCGATACTGAAAATAAGAAACAGTTGGCCGAATGCCGAAAGGACGAAAATGATTAATAGAAATATAGAAATATATATATATATAATGGTTATACATTTTTTTACCAATGTTGTTCAGCTGCCTGATTATGGAAAAAGACATGATTATGGCAAAACTTAACTTAAATAATAATCACTATTATGGGTCCATAAAACATTTATTCAGCACTTTTGAATGCATACAGTACATTAATTCCAAGTCAAGTGCATTTTCTTTTCTCTGTAGGATAACTACAACAAAGTGCATTCAGAACAAAGCCAAGGTGCTTTAAAACTGCATAAACATCTAGGCCAGTAGGCCTACAACAAACTAGTGTAAATAAAGACTGTAACAGCCAGGCCTTTAACAACAACAAATGCACCGATAAGTTTGGTAACCTAACGTGTTGTTGTGATGACGTAATCAAAACGCGGCGACAAGCACGGCGCGCGACCATGCTCGCGGCTGGCTCACAGCCAACATGTCTGCCGCTTGGAGATATTTCAAAATATCAGAGAAAGAGCCGCGGATTGCGATTT